CACACAGAGAACCGGTTGTTCACATATCTGAATCCCACCATTGGAACAAATGTATAGCTGGGTGAACAATTGCTTTTTTATGACACTTTGGAAAAGTTTGAAACTTGACTGGTGATCCTTCTCTACAGTTTCAGTAGCCTTAAAATTCTGTGGTTAAGAGGACCTATCTACTTGCAATACTCAAAAGAGTTTAAATAATTTCTGTGATGTTCAGTGGAAATGACAGATTAACTAAAAGGTGTGATAATTTTAAGGCCATTTTCGGAAGCAAGTACTGAGATAATCCTTGTGTTAACCTACACAATAAATTCTCTGTTAGTACTCCAAACATCATTCACATAGACTGTTAGACGGCCACTTTTCCTCAAGCATTCAAAAAAGTACTCAAATTTCCTCTGACACATTAATTTGATTTTTGCTACCATCTGCATCATGTGTTTCTGGAAATGGCCGCAAAGAATCTCAGTGTGCTTTTATTGTAATGTGGATGCATCCTAAATATTAATAAGACACAAGACATTTATAAGCTAAGGAAAATAGGACAAGAAAATCCTGCTGCTGATGTTACCTAGTCTGGTAACATATTGTTCAGAAATTAAATTGAAACAATCTTGGAGAGCAAACCACTGCCAAAATTAAGTAATTTTTAACTACTTTTGCCTGGAGGCAATGTAATCAAATTTGTTATAGCTATGTAAGAGTATGTGCGTGGGGAGGGTGGGGCTGCAATGATGTTTTGCTGCATCAAACTCTTAAAGCTAATTGACTGCTGTCAACCCATTTCTAACACCTTTTTAATAGGATATTTAGGAAAGGGTGACCTACACATTACTATTATATGCCTTCTATACTGATGGAGGGGGGTTGTGTACCAAGCCAAACATCTACAAGCATGAAGTGTCTTTATCTTGGAATTGTTATAATAAATCAGGTGTGACATTATTTTGTCCCATTATGATGACTGAATTCCTGCTATTTGGGTGCATTCTTGTTATCTAAGTATAAATAAGAATATTATAAGAGTTTGCAACTTGGAAGTTGTTTCATTTGAAATTTTAGAACCTGCCAACTGGTGTGGGTAAAATAAGGCTTCCTTAGACATGAGGACAAAAATTTCCTTTTCAAGTGAACAAAAAAGAAAATATTCCTAGGTGGGAACAAGATGATTGAATTCAGTGCGATTTTATTTATGTCAGTAAATAAATAATGTTAAATCAGGCATATTTTCAGAAATTGCCTTCTTTTTTTTTCTAATCTACAATGTACTGATTTGCACTGTCTTACAACACTATTGTGATGATTGCTGGGATAGATAGATAAAATAAATCTGAGTTTCCAAAGCAAGATTGAATTTTTGGAGAAGTTAAATTTAGCTTGTGGAATGTTTCTTTTCTTTCATATTATATTGGCTGTCCTGTGAAACCCATTTCACAATATGGATAATGATTCTAGCTCAGGAAACACCTAGTTTTATCCCAATTGTATTTTATTTTAAACTTTCAAGAAGGTTCTTCTTCTATACTGGAAAGCAGTTTTAGTTGTATATATGAGATGAGATGACAGAGAAAGCCACTTTTCTTCCCAGCGAGTAATTTTATATGGGAGGGAAGGTGAGAAGAAATAATATATGAAGAATATAGGTAAGAACTGATAGATTTTTAAAAGGGCACTGTCAATAAAAGTATGGTAATTTCCAGGGCTTTTTTTTTTTGTCATAGAATGCCCAGAACGAAATTCCGGCACCTTTTTTGGGTGGAACCTTGTAGGGTAGGCAAGGCAGGTTGTTTGATGTGTGTGAGTTCCGGCACCTTTTTTTTTTTTTTTTTTTACAAAAAAAGCACTGGTAATTTCAGAGTAACATCCTTAAATTTCAGTAGTAGTTATTGTCAGCTAAATATACACAGAATGGCAAACTAAACTACAGCATCCTCTATAGGTTTGGTCAGATGGTTTACTGAATTCAATACTGAGATGTATTGAATTCTTTCCAGTTTTCATCTGTTGATGAGTTTTTTCAATTTTCAATTGGCAGTAAAAAGCCATTATAGTGTCATAGTTAAGATGTTGGATGGTATTGGGAAAATTCTGGTTTCAGTCTGTCCTCAGCCCTGGAAATTCCCTCCCTTATGATGAAGGGAAAAAAGAGGAGATAGCATTGGGTACCAGGATACAAAAAGCAAAGTAAAAATCTAATAAACTGTAATGGGTTGAATGTGGTAGGATTTAAGGAAAGCTTCCAGATCAGTTTTTTTTTTTTTTTAACCAAGCAAGCATACTGCCATGAGCATGTTTTAATACTCCAGAAGTAAGTTGTCAGGCAATGCAAGACTATCTTTTGCTGGTCAGACTATTTATTTATTTATCTATCCAATTTACTGGCCCCCCATCTTAGCACATTATAATCTTTGGGAGGCTTACAATATTATTTAAATTGTGTTGCTTGTGATCAAACAGCTATTTTCTCAGTTTTCTCAGCACATGTTTTCCACTGACTTTTTAAACAAAGCACATTGAAAAGCTCGAGGTTTTCTTTGGGTGAGCTTTCCACAGCTGGAGCATGATAAAAAAAGTCAGGAGGAAGATTCAGGTGCATCCTTTCAGTTTCCTACCAGAAGCTATCAAAGGCTGAGATGCTTATATAAAAGCAGGTGGTTTAGAAGAAAGGCAAACAGCAGATATTTTTACCATGGAGAAATCTCCAAAGAAAAAAGAAAAATATCAGAATGAGTTATATATACACAGTGGAGTTCCCAGAAAAAAAAAGAAAGAAAGAAACTCCCCAAACAGAGGACTGGGGTTTTTTTTTTGTGCAACAACAACAAAAAACCTGACTTTTTGGAACAGTGGCAATTTTATGTGAAAAGGATTGGCACAATTTGTAGCATCTGATTGTTTCCAGAATTCAGCACTGAGAAGTATGGAAACACCTTTGTAGGCAATGCTAATAAATAAAGCAACATAAGTTTTCATGAGCTTTCTAAAAGACATTCCCCTTTTCTGATTCCCTCTTTCTCTTGCAAAACTTCTCCTCGGTACTGAACTGCAAAAGCTGAAGGCCACTTTCTCTGCTTAACTGGTTACATCTCACTGCCACAGATTCCTTCACAGCCTTAGCTAAGGAAATGTTCTTCAGGAAGGCTTCTTCTCATTCAGAATCTGCAGTACAAAAGTTGTGAGAAACATTGTAGTTCATATCCACTTAGGATGGTTGAAAGACTAAGGTAGATTCATAGCTATCATTTTAAGAATTTTAGAATATTGAAATTATTCTTGTTTTTGGGACTTTCATATATTATTATTATTAATCCAGCAAGAGAGTACATTTTAGCAATGCTTCCAAAAGATCTCAAATAAGATGTTATTTATATGCTACCTCATGGTGTTTCTGAAAACACAGAATACTCAACTTTTTTCTTTCAATTGGGATGTATCAGCTTCTTTCACAATCCATATGGACAGTTCTAAACCAACAACTGCAATTGTACTGCTTATTCCTCCCATCCTGCAATCTCCTATTGTCTAATCCAGGGGTCTCTAACTTAACAACTTTAAGACTTGTGGACTTCAACTCCCAGAATTCCTGTGCCAGCCATGTCTTAAAGTTGGAGACCTCTAATACCTGAATTTTTCAATGTCTAGGCATAGTACTTACCTTCTATCTCTATCTAACTCCACATTATTCAAATCACCCAGATACAGGTTGGCATGGTTGATTGATTGATTTTTTGGTTTATGGTCTCAGACCAATAAATAATGGTATAGTCATAGGAAAAGGACGTACAACATTGCTGAAATACCATAATTACAATTTGCTTTGCAACAAAGTCCTGATGACTGGAAACTTTTTGTATACGTACAGTATATTTATAATTAACTCTCTTTCATATCATTTGCCTTCAACCTATATAGAATTTACAGTTATAGATATACAGTTATAGAATATACAGTACCATATGGAGAAGACTATGAACAATTCCTGTTCATAGTTATTCACGAGTTGAAAAGAGAATGAACATTGATTGGTAGACTGTTCTCTCCAAATATCCCACTTACAAACATAAACTGAAAATATAATCATATCCAAACTATTTTAGTGACTTGCCACAAATGTTTCCAAAGTAGTGGCCATCACTTCTAAAAAAAGAAACTCTTGATAGAAGTTAGCATTTGAGCTAATATTACCTCTTCCAAGTTCCAACTTATTTTGAATGCAGGCAAATCTGTTTTGTAATGTAAGTGATGTCAAGGGGAATGAGTACTCAGAATGCACTCCTGTTACTTGAAATCCATTATCACAATGCTTATGCTGGAGAGAGGCAGTTTTTAGGAAACCGAAAATGAAGTTCCCCTTCATTCAGAATCAATTTACCACATTTATATTTGCTAAATGGAATGTCAGTCTGTACTGCTGAGCAATGAAAATCTGGAAGGAGAATAATATCTGCAGGTAAGGCTCATTAAACAATTAAAATGAATGTTTTCTAAATCAGAACATAAAAGAACATTTCTGTCTCAATCTGAATGTTCAGTTTAAAGTTTTATTCAGTTTTGACATCAGAATTGAGAGAGCCAGTCAAACGTGCTGGTTAAGGCACCAGGGTAGAAATGGTGAGATAGTGAGCCCTGCCTTAAACACAAAGCCAGCTGGCTGACTTTGGGTCAATCAGTTTCTCTCACCCCTTGGAAGGAGACAACACTCTCTTCTCCCCTCCCCTCCCCTTCTCTTCCCTCCTCTTCCCTCCCCTCCTCTCTTTCCTCTCTCAGAAAATATTGAATGTAATGGTAGGATTTTATTGATCTATAGTACATTTCATTGTGCATATGACTGATTAATCTTATCAAAGAAGTTGAAAAATATGGAGAAAGGAAATAAGAAAATGTAAAAAATATTATTCAACATCATTTTAAATAATAATAATTATTATTAATAATGATACTCTTCCTTCTGTGGACTCTTATATTTATGCTTTATTTTGGGACCATGTTGATATTATTTCCAGAAGACAGCATGCTTAAGGTCAAAAGTGACTATGATGAAAAACAAGATGGAATTTTGAAGTCTGAGCCGGTAGAAACTGGAGAAGAACCCAGGATTCTTTATAACTGCAGGCCGGAGTACGGAGACTATGACAATATGGAACTGGAGAGGCATTCTGAACCATATGACCTTGTCAAATCAAATACTGCAAAACTGAAGTGTGACATTTGTGGATTAGGCTGTGTCAGCCTCAATGTGCTGGTGGTTCACAAGCGTAGTCATACTGGTAATTACCATTCATTCAGAAGCAAGATCTCATTTGAAAATACTTTTTTTTTTTTTATTGAAGATTTTTACATTTTACAAAAACAAATCCCCTTCCCATACCCCCCCCCTACCTCACCCCCCCCTTCCCAACCTCCCAAATCCTCCCCTGGACTTCCCAGAGCTGAGTACAGGCTTAATTAAAAAAAAAAAACTTAAAACACTTTTAAAACCTAAACAAATTTAAATACAATCATCATTCTATATAAACTCCCTCCAAAAACACAAATTTAAACATTACTTTCTTTGAATATCTATATCTATAGTATAAAATCTAATTTCTCCCTCTTTCTTTATCCTAAAACGAAAAAATAAACATACAAATCTTTGTTATACCATTAAAGCTAAATACTCTTAAAAAACTTAAAGTAAATACATATTTCCTTCAATCTTCATAATCTTCTCTCCTATCCAAAAAGAAAAAAACTTAAAAAACCTATAAGTCCTAAACAAATCTAAGCACATTTAATTAAACAAATTATTTTCTCTTAAAAATATTAATAATAATATTTAAAAACTAGAAACACTTTTAAATCCTAAACAAATCTAAATACAATCATCATTCTATATAAACTCCCTCCAAAACCACAAATTTAAACATTACTTTCTTTCCTAAACAAATCTAAACATTTAATTAAACAAATTATTTTCTCTTAAAAATATTAATAATATTTAAAAACCAAATTTAAGCATACTTAAAACTTGAACAAGTTATACTCCCTTCAAAACACAAATTTAAACATTACTTAAAATTTAAAACATTAGAATCCCCTCACTAAAATAAGCAAATTATAATCCCTTCAAAACACAAATTTAAACAATATTATCATTAAAGGTTCAAAACTTAAAACAACAAAATTAATAAACACATTAAACATTTCAATCTTCACCAATAACAAATTCCATCCGTAAGAAACTGCATCCTTATCAGTCTCAATTATATTAGTATTATTAATTATTCACATTCCAGTTTTTTCCATTCTCCATTCTTCCATTCTTCCATTTCCCTTCTCCATTCTTGTATCAAACTCGTAAGAAATGCTGCAAGTTCTGCCTTAGGAGACTGCTCCAAAATTCCTGAATCTCCCATCGACTCCGAAGCCAATAAGGGTTCCTTGAATTCCTCCTTGTGTTGGTCTTTACAATTGTAAGTTGTACAAGTTATCCTCTGCCCGTTCCTCTCTTGTTGATGCCCCTCAAACTGAGATTTCCCAATTTCCATTTCAGGCAGCAATTCCACCCTTAAAGATTGCTCCAAAGACTTTGTAGGTCTAACATCTCCCAGAGATTCAGAAACCACTGAGTATGAAACTTCCTTAACCTTCTTCTGTTGCTGCTTTTCTTTGGAATTGTATACTGCACAAGTTGTCTTCTGCTCCTCAACCTGGACTTGTTGAGGCCTCTCACACAAAGATTCTCCAGTTTTCATAAATATAGGCTCTTCAAACTGTGATTCTACATTCTTTTCTTCCAAAGCTTTAAACTTAGTAGATGGCGATGCACATACCCCCAGGACCGAAGTATAAAAGTCTTTTGCTTGAGAAACAGTATTAAGTCTATAACATGTCCCCAGGTAATTCACCACCATTCCAGTCGGAACATCCCATCTGAATAAAATTTTTCTCTTTTTAAGTTCATTTGCTAGAAAAGCAAACTCCTTTCTTCTTCTTAAAATTTTAGATGGGATCTCCTTAAAAATTATAACATCTTGTGAAGCAATTTGAAATCTCTTCTTATAATAGGCTTGCACAATTTCATTGCGTAAAGATCTTTTACCAAAGTAAATTACCACATCTCTTGGCAGATTCTTCTGTGCTGCCACCACAGAGTTAACCCTAAATAATTTTTCAATTTCACTAAGTATTCCCTCTTTTTCTTTATTCAAAATCAATGCAAAGTCCTTTGCAACCATCTCCTTCAGATCTCCTTGCAAAGACTCTCCCAGGCCTCTAATTCTTAAGGCATATTCCATTTGTCCATATTGAAGCATAAGAATCTCATTTTCCATTTCTTTTTCCATACTTTCAATTTTCCCCTCCATTATGTCCACTTTTTCAGCTACCTCTTCCACATGGGAGTTCACCTTTTCAAGAACAGAAGCAACTCCTTCTAAAGCCAAAACAAAATCTTGTCTCAAGATCTTATTGTTTTCCTCTAAAATCTTTTTCATTTCTGCCCTAATTTGAATTATAACATCTCCCATCATGTCTTGCAAATCCTTCATAGTTATTAGCTGACCCCCAGAAGAGGGTGAAACTGTTGATTTAGAAGCTGTAGAAATCCCTGGACGCTTTGGAGCCATCTTAAAGAAAAACCTTTAGTCCTTCTTAAAAAATTATAAAAATTCCTTCAAAAATCATAACTCCCTCCAAAGAGTTATAATAAAAAGAAAAAAAAGGGAAGAGAAAAAAAAAGGAGAAAAGGAATTAAAAAAAAGCTTTACTCCTTCTTAAAAATTACAAAAATTAAACAGAAAAAAGTCCTTCAAAAAAGGGTCATTACAATAAAAAGAAGAGAGTTCAAAAAGAAAAAAAAAAAGGGAGAAGAAAAAAAATAATTAAATAGAAAAAGTCCGTTCCAAGAAAAATACTTAGAGATACCAAAAACAACCATTCCAATCATAAGGAAATAAAAAGGGAAAGGGAAAGGAAAGAAAGAGAAACACCAAAAAGCCTGCCGGTCAGCATTCTAACTTCCAAAAAAAAAAAAAAACACCGAGGGATTTGCCGATCGCCATTTTACTTTCCCTTTCAACAAAGAAAGAAAAATAAAAAGAGAGAATAAAAATAGAAACAAGTCTTAAAACTTAAAATCCAAATAAGTCAAAGAAAGCAAAAACTAAATCCTCTACTCAGCTCTGTCCGTTTATAAAAAAAAAAACTCACCAGTTCTCTTTAAGCACGGAGGTGTTTGCAGCGGCTCGTTTTGTCCCTGAGGACAAAAACAGCTGGGAAGCGGAGACAAGTCTGAACTCCGTGGGAGCACTCCTTTCACCCCCCCCCCCAAAAAAACTTGGGGGGTGCAAAAGAGGCTCTACCACTATTCAGACACTCTCTACCCCCCCCCTTTGCCCGGGAGGGGGATTTTGAACCGCTGAACAGCTGATGTCTGCTGTTCATAGCGGTTCTTACACTTACCCAGGAGGACGGCTACAAAGTAGCTGCCATCGCGCGCGCAAAATCCCATTTGAAAATACTTGATCTGAGGCTGTTCCAGTAGCCATTGCAATGCACTAAGTTGGGCAGAGTCCAGATAGGATGGCCCATTTAGGGGGCATACATATGTATGTATGCTGGGGGGGGGGGAGAATACCTTGAAGTTGTTACTCTTATGCATTCTAAAAAGAAATTGTTTTGGTAAAGAAAGCCATTCATTGGCATCTGGGGGAAACTGTGCTATACAATCAGAAACAGAGATTTTTCCCTTCTCAACCAACCCTTTATTGCATTAAGCCTTCTACTAGCTCAGGCCTCTGCTCTGACAAGATAAATCAACCCCATAGTTCTTATGGCAAAATAATTTGAGTTTATCTTTAGCTAAGACTATAGTGCTTTAATAATCATTCCACCACACATGCTGTTTTTAAGGTGAGCGCCCTTTCCACTGTAATCAATGTGGAGCCTCATTTACCCAGAAGGGAAATCTTCTCCGCCATGTTAAACTTCACACTGGGGAAAAGCCATTCAAATGTCACCTTTGTAGCTATGCCTGTCAAAGAAGAGATGCACTCACAGGACACTTAAGGACACATTCTGGTAAGTTTATTTCTCTTAAGATGGATTGATTTATTTCCTTTATTTCTGTTTTTATCAGCAGTATTTCAATTTCAATAATAACAATAACAACAATAATATCTTTTATAACCATAAATGAAAAAGTAAGTTCTTACCTGATCTACATCAATATCATATATATCCAATTTCATGATAGCTCCATCCAATTCCTGCATAATTTTGAAATTTTTCATGCATAAAATTTCATTCTCTTCTTTTGCTATTGTTGCTGCCATGTTTGTGTCTCTCTTTGTGTATTGTATTCTGCAATTCTATATATTTATTTGTTTCTCTTCTCAGATTAAAATATGGATCAGAAAATTGTGTTATTTGAGATAATATATTTCTCAGCCAAAAATACATATACTGTATATGAATATATATATATATATATATATTCATTTTTATCTGTATTTATATCATATTGCATACACACTAGGCAGTTTTTATTTTTGATCTAAGAACTGCAGGTCCATATTGTAAGCTGAAAACTGGAAATTGGTTCAGTTTCTTTAACAATGATCAAATTCTCCTTCATATTAACCTTGCAAAATCATTTTGCAAGCACAGCCTCTATAAGGAACTATTAATAACATCAAATGGATCGATTTTATTGTTGTTGCAAGTAAGGCACAATAATTCTAAGGGAAATGGACAGTTAAGAAATAGGAAATATACAGTAAATAAATAAACAGTATAAAAGATCCGGGGAGAGACAACTTTATTTTATATTAAGAAGGTATAAAAGATAAAGAAATAAAGAATTACAAAGAAGACTAGTCAATACCCCAAAGAAAGATTGAGAATACTAATGGCACTTCTTCACTGCTATTATTTTTTTCGTGAACAAAAATTATCAGATGTATCTAAAGATAATTTGTTATTATTTTCAGGATTTGTGGCTTGCAATACTAAAAATAAGTGAAAATCGGAGCCATAGATTGTGCTGCAACAGCTCCTCCAGCTTCTGAGGCCCTTGCAGCCCTCTTCCACAAGGAAGAAAGAGAGAGGGAGGGAAGGAGGGAGGGAGGGAGGGAGGAAGGAAGGAAGGAAGGAAGGATGGATGGATGGATGGAAGGCATTCCAGTAGCTCCTCTCACCGTTAGTTTATCCAATGTGGAGGACATTGACACAGCAATTTAATGCTCTGCACTTTATGTCTGGACAGCTGAGATATAGCTGCAAAGAAGTCATGCTGGCATCTCCTTAATGGAACCTACAGTTCAGGAACCATGAGGAGGTATTAAGAAAGAGGACTCATTAGCATGGAAACGGAGCTGCAGTAAAGCAAAGTAAATATCTAGAATTGCAGTAGTTTCCAGTACATCACTGATGAATCATATATTGTATAAATGAACTGAGGTTTCCACTGCTGACAGTATGGAAACACAAAGGTTCAAACAGAACCAACTTCTTCAAATCAAAAGGAGGGCTTGTGTGTCATGATGTCATTGTACAAATGTTGTCAATTAAGTAATTGACAATGCATGTAATATCATTTCTCACCTCCAATCCAATTCCTTCACAGACATTCATGAGATCATAGCTTTTTAAAGATTAAAATATCTTTCTTACGTAGCTTTAGCCAGAGAAAGGGAAAAAAAGCTTCTTCCTTCAGTTAATCAGATATATTTAGATTAAGAAATCAAACATTCCCAGTTTAGAGTACCTTTCGCTATTTCAGTCTTAAAGCTGATTGGGTATTTAACTTGGCAGGACCATTCTGGGGATTAACAGATTATGATTTGAAGTACTTGATATGTTAAAATGATATATTTATTACATAATATCTATAAATCAAATACTCATTTCTAGTGGAGAAACCATTCAAGTGTGAATTCTGTGGACGGAGTTATAAGCAGAGGAGTTCATTAGAGGAACACAAAGAAAGATGTCGGACATACCTCCAGAATGCTAGCCTCAGTGAAGCTGGTGAGCAGTTGGGAATTCTTTTTTTTTTTTTTTTGTAATATATTTTATTGATTTTTTAAAAAACATAAATCATTTAATTTTTTAAAACATAAATCACTGTTAATTTGACAACAGTGTGTTGTCTGGGTTACATTTGTAAAACAAACACTAACAATTGGTTTCTATAATCTATAATCCACATAATAGTTTTAGTTGATTTCCTCTTTTCCCAAAATATCCTCTTTTGCAAACATTGAGTTAATATAATTCTTATTGTTTTGATAGATAACAATTAAATATATAGTTTTCCCAATAGGCCTAAAAATAATAATCACATCAATATAATATTTCTTTTCTATCCAATCATTCTGGTTGCATTATCATAGTCCTTATTTTAATTTGTTTCTCCCACCAAATTCTAGATATTCTTACTGGTTAAGATTTTCTCAAAAATTAATTACATTTAAGAATTTAATTCTATTTTTCCATATCAACCATCTCACACTTTTACATTTCTTAAGAAATAGATAAAACAGTAAAAAGAAAGAAAAGCAAGAGTAAAGAAGCATAAAAATAACATACTACTTAAAATATATATCCCTCCTATGCTAATATGTATTTATTTCCTAAATTTCTTATTCTTTTTAACCATAATTAAAATATGTTTAATCTTTAAACATTCCATTTAATACATCTAGTGATCTAGTCCTTTAACTCTTATTCAAAACATTTTATCCATTATAATTTTCTTGCATTCAATCACATTTAAATATCTAAAACATTTCCTTTATCTAAGTCATTTCAATTTTTTTATATTACTCATATCAAGAAAGAGAACAAAAAAAGGGGAAAAGCATACTATATTATATTAAGAGAATTCATCCCTCTTAGAGTGACATATATATTCCAAAACTTTTCTATTTCTTTAACCATATTCAAAACTTTCTTTTTAAAGTATTCTCTCTGGTAAGTCCCAGCATCTATATTCTTAGTTTCCACTTTAGTCTTTTTCTTTTGCCCAGTGTCTTTCTTAATCAACGTATTTTGCTCAATCAAAAAGTTTTCCCGTATGTTCGTAAATGTTGCTGTAGATATAAAAAGTAAATCAGGAGAAGTGTCTTTGTACGGGACTTCTGCCTTTCCATGTTTGTTGAAAATCTTTTTCTTTTTCTTTATCTCTACTTCTCTTATTATTTCCTTTCTCTCCAATATTCCTGACATCTCTACAGTTCATTTTATCTGATTGTTTTCTTGTCCTCAGATTTATTTTGTAGTCTTAAGGAATAAGTTGTTTTTTTCCAATTCTTGTGAATTTTTTTCCACTAGGATTAAATCACATTTCCTTGTTTTGTTAAGTTCCATCTTTAAGTCTTTATTCTCAATTCTATATCCATTTACCTGTTTTATCTGCTCCTTCTCTGTTGTTGTTTTCTGGGATTTTTGTTGTTGTAGAGTTAACTTGGAAATAGATTGATTTATATTTATATTTTGGATTTCTTTGTGGTTTAAAGTCATTGTTGTTTGAATTAGTTGCAGTATAATCTATATCTCCTACTGTGACGTATTTATGTTTTCTTGATATGTTCTTTCTACATGTCTCTGATCCATAATAGAATTTGAGTTTTCCTCTTCCTTTCTTTTCTCTGTAAATGGCTTTAGAGTCCCAATTAGGTAAATATTTGTAATTAAAATAGTTCAAAAAAGATTTTTTCCCCTGAAATTTATAATTCTCTCTTTGTCTACAGCCCAGATTATTATCTTTTTTTGTCACAGCTGTTCTTTATTGTTAAAGCTTTGAAGGTCACAAACATAGATTTCCTTTTCCCAGATTTTACCAAGTCTTATATTAAAGTCATAGCTTTATCTGTCACTAGGTGTCAGCAACTATTTGTTTTTTAATTCCAAAATGAACAATTATCTCTGAAATGAGAGTCTTAACTATTAAAACAATTTTAGATTTATCCAAGTTTAAGTTTTAAGTTTCAAGTTTTATATTTATTTCACTTCCATATATTTTGATCCTCCATAAAAAGATTAATTTGCCGCTTCCTTTAGTATAAAGGTGGGGCAGAAATCCCCCTCCTTCCCTTTCAGAGGGATTTTGCTTCTTGGGGATCTTTTCCAGGAAATTAAATGTAAAAGATAAAAGAGAAGATGAAATTCCTCACCCAGTTTCAAGCACGCTGTTCACAGTTGTGCTAGTTAGTGCTTTTGGACTTCGGCTGCAAGTAGCTTGGGCTGGTTGATGCAATATGGCCAGCCTTTTTCCTGAAGGGTTAGGAGGTTTTCCCCAAGTCGAACAGAACGGCTGCCACCATTTCAGAATAGCTGGAGCACCCTTCTTTCTTCATTGCCTCTCCGGGGTGACTTAGACCCATTTAGGGTTCCCTGGCAAGGCGAAATTAGCCACGGGTGTGTGGAGAATCTGCAAGCCCGCAACCCATCACTACCGTGCAAAACCGGAAGTCGGCAGCTGTGAATTCTTAATTGCTGTGTTGGTACAGTCTTGTTGGAAATCTTATTTCCCTTTTGCTATAAGGAAGAGCGATGGAACTATGTGATTAAATGAATATAATATGGGAATTTAAATATCATAGAGGTAGTCCATGATCAGCCTAGCAATACAGTTGCTAAATTATGTGGTTGTTAAGTAAAATATGTCACTGCAATAGACATATTGCAATGCAGACTTCACGTCTGCCATGTTTATTAAGTGAACCACCCAAGGTCATGAAGTGAGGCATCACATGACTGCAACTTGTGATTTTACTGCTGGCTTCTCTCAGTTGTATAACCGAAGGAATGGCATTTTAAAAAAAACTGTGTCTGTCTTAAATGATAGGTAAATGGCATCTCAGTTCAAATGGCTTGCTATTTCTACAGTGGGAAGTTTTGGCTGAGGATATGGTTATTTATTTATTTATTTATCAAGCTTATTAATCACTCATCTCCTTCATAGACGCTTTTTCATTGCTGAATTAAAAATAATGGTTGATTTACAATTGTATTTAGTCTTTGTTAATATTTTATAATTTGATATCTTACTTTTTTAAAAAAATGCATAAATATGGATTTAAAAATCACAGGCCTTTGTTCAATGCAGTATTTCAAAATTCATGTTTGAAATTTGGCATAGGAGTATTTTAAGGTAATTTCAAGTATTTTTCAGTATCTCAGATAATACAGAAATCTCTGATTATAATATTTGTGTCAAAAATAATTGAACAGTTGGAATTATCAATATCCCTAAAAAGAAAACTACTCATTTTTTAAATCATAAATGACACAGGTAAAAAAAAAATCGAGGCTGCCCATATTCATGGTAGCTATACAGTTATATCACAGTTAGCTGGTCTTTTGGAAGAGAGAACATGGGAATTTTCCATATTACTTATACATATACAGTATATAAGTAATATACATGTTTAATTGCCTAACAATAACTAACCCTTGTTTGACTGCTCCTCTGGAATTTGTCACTGATGATAATTTTAGCTTTTGTGACCACAGGGTTGAGAGCATTGGGGGAAGGTAGGGACGTGAATGCAACATTGAATTCAAATGTGGCTCCCATGCTTGATTGGAGATTCATATCAGACCATTAACAGGTTCTCTTTTTCTGTGTTCCATTCCTTTGCTGACCACATCATTTGGTGTTACAGGAAACAGTGCCGTTCATTCAGGTCACGCTTAGTATTTCTGAGGTTTATGTTAACCAGCTCTCTTGCTCTGAAAAATGTGAAACTATAGGCCTGGAATGACAAAAGTCACATGTTGGAACAGAGTGCGCTGTCTCTCCAAAAGACTCACCATTGTAATAATAATCAAATAGAGAATCAAGGGATATAGAGAGAAATAGAATAAAGATCAGAAAAATACCTGTGATGGGATTAGTTAGTTAAATTTACGATGATGTTTTTAGCTACTAATTCTTTCTATTCTTACTATCCTTTAATAGTAGTTTAAGTCTGAATATCCTTTAACATCACCACAGTAGTTCTATAGACAACATTTAAGATAATGTCATATGTAAGTAAGTATTAGAGATATTAGCTTTAATTGGCTTGACTGATTAAATTTAAATATATTAAGGTTTGAAAAAATGGTTCACACATTTATTTTTTATAATATATCAGAAATATATTTTGTTGTAAACAGTTTAATTGATTTATTTTTATCAACTAATTTAAATCACATTTTCTGTTAATTTGAAATATTTATTCTATACTTGCAGCATTATTTTACATTTTGAAGCACTACTTGAATTGAAACACTGTCTTGAATTTTTTACTTTTCACAGTGTAGCATTTCAAATTAAAACATATTTATTAACAAAACACATTTGCAAAAATGTATATAGTTGGGCAAAATACATGCAAAATGCATCTATTAGAAAAATGCATGTAAAATCTATCAAATTTATCATGTATAGTTTAAAAAATATTAAGTATTCCATATACAATTTTATAATGACCTATTGATTATGTGATAAATTTTATGTTGTATGTGAAATTGAAACATGGGCATTTGACTTGGAAAATGGGAAACCAAGAATCCACAAGTGACAGATTTACCCATCTCTAGTTATAAGTCAAGAAGAAGTATTTTTTGTCTAGTTGCATTTACATTAAGTCAGCTTAAACAGAGCTGATTCTTGTTAGATAAACCTGTATGTATATTCTTTAGTGTGGAGCTTATTGAAATTATACTGCATGAAAACAGCTCCGGTAAATTAATATTTTCCATGTGATCTGAGCATTTCCCCCCTAATATGCAAGCCACATGGAAAGAAATATGTATTGTGAGATTATACATTATTCAGAACTAATTAAGTAATCACTCCGTTCAGTTAACTTCTTGAACTGTTTGTATGTTGTGTTTCAAGTACAACAGAGAACACTTGTGAACTAAGATTTAGTGAAATAACATCCCCAAAACTAAAAGTCTTTTAGCCATTGCAATGCACTCTACAATTAAAAAAACTATATACAAAGTGTGCATGAGATGAAAAATGGGCACAA